CTCTAATTGCAGGAAGTTCCAGCATTGCAGTACCTGTATATCTGCAATGATGGCCTAATTGCTCAATTTAATACCCCTAAAATGGAGATCTCAGGTACATGTGCACTCACATATGTCACAGTTTGGTATATGGGAAAACCTATTATTTCTCCGCAGGCCATTTATTCATTTATTTGGTACTTAAAAAAAGGAGCACATAAGGAAAAAAGGAGGAGTGCAACAAAACAAGTGTGTGGTGTTGAATTTAAAAGTAAAGACTGGAGGAGGACAAGGAGGAGGCATTAGGATAAAGTAGAGATATTACAGTCAACAGTTCTCTGCCCTGACTGTACGCAACACATCCCCTTATGCGGCAAAGCTGCCTTAACAGCTGACTAGATAGAAGTAATGTCTGCAAATCAGTCATTCTTTTCTATAAATGATGTTCTCTTCATTAAACTGAAAGTGATGACAGCGCTATCATGTCCCTCATTACTGATGACCTAGTGCAGTGTATCAGTCCATTACAAGTCTGCTCCTTGGAAATGTAAAAACCATATTGTTAAACAAGCAGTACACATGTGTGTAAGTGTGTATGTGTGTTTCAGTAAGAAAATGTGTAAGCATGAGCCCAACCTGCTGCATTGACTTTAGTCAACCCCCTAGGGACGTTCCCCTTCTCCAGACTGTTCTTCACCAAGGGACACTGGGTTCTGCATGAAAAGATGAGAAATTGTGATTTTCAAAGTATTGGTCAAGAATATACACAAGTATGAGTGCTAAATACAGATCTTAATTTTAGTGATATTATCCGTCTTATTTAAGAACAACTGTTTTTTTAGTGACCGTCCACTCCATGACAGCTAAGAAAGCCCGGTGGTGCAGGAAGTGGAAGTGAATCCCACGTGGCTCCATATCATCTCGTATGAAAGCTGACAATATCCATCAAACCTCTGCTGTCTTGACCACACACACTGACACACACACACAATCACCCAGTCCTATCTCCAAAGTACTTTTTCTCCCACTTTACACCTCAAACAGAGAAGGAAAATCCGATGTGAGCAAGCACATTAGGAGAAATAACTAGTAAAAGAAAGTGAAGCCTCTTTAAAGTAGTGGCGTGCTAATAGCTGTGGGCTGTCAGTAGTCCTATGAGTGCGCACGGCAGATTTGCCTGCATGAAGCCTGACAGGTGTTGCAAGTGTGTGTGTGTGTGCATGGATGCACGAGCGTGCGTCTCTCTAATGCACGATGCCATCCGTATTACAGGGAAGAGGCTTGTTTCGCAGGTAATTGGCTTGTTCAGAAGGCAGGAAGGAGCTCCCAGCAGTGAGGAGGAAACACAAGTCCTGTCACGCATTGCTTGTTATTAGCGGGGACAAGGCTGAGAAGAGTTGAGACGAGCTC